GGCGGTAGGTGTGAGTGAAAAACGTTTGGCGATGGTGTCGGCGTATTTCTCGGCGCTTAGGTAGATCGCATTTTCTTCTTCGCGGATGTTGAGCCGGAGGTACTGGGTCACGGTAGAAGAGACCGTGAGCGTGAGGTCTTTCCGCAGCTCCCCTTCGAACCAGGTGGTGACGTCGTCGGTGGAGCCGATGTAGAGCAAGTCGTCGACATAGACGATCAGTAGAATGTAGTGTGCGCCTTTGTTGAGGCGGTACATTCCTTGGTCGTGAGGTAGTTGGCGGAATCCGATGCGAGTGAGGCGGGTGTGTAGGTGCTGTTGCCACAGTCGCGGGGCTTGTTTGATTCCGTAGAGCGATTTCAGTAGTTGGCAGATCTGATTAGGATTTCCGTGAGTGCCGTGTGGGAGTTCGACGAAGATTTCGGCGTCGACGGGTGCGTAGAGGAATGCGTTGGCAACATCGATTTGTCGCAGCTTCTTCTTCTTCATGGCGGCGACGGCGAGAAGGATTCGGAGAGAGGTATTTCGACTGACTGGGGCGAATGTTTCGGTGAAGTCTCGTCCTTGCTCCTGGTCGAATCCACGCACGACCCAGCGTGCTTTGAACTTCTCGATTGTGCCGTCAGCTTTCGTCTTGATGCGGAAGACCCATTTCCCGGTGAGAATGGTCTTGTTCCGTGCCACGCTTGCGGGAACGACCTTCCAGGTGTTGCGTTCCTCTAATGCTTTTAATTCCCTGTCCATGGCTTCACGCCATTTCTCCCTGTGTTCCCCCCCTAGAGCCTGCTGAACCGTCGTAGGCTCTTTAGGAAGCGTGCTGCCTATGTTCCCGTGGACTGCGGTGACGAGACCAAGGATTTGCAGCCCAGTCTGTGAGTATTGGGGGAGTGTTGTATCCTCGGGATAAGCTGCTTCGTCTCCTGCTTCTGGATCGGGTATGAAATTTGGCCCTATCCTTTCTGCTTCATTTGTGTTGACTGTCGCATGTGTTACGTAACCGTTGTCGGCGAAGTGATAGAAGACTTCGGCGTTGTTACTGTCGCGAGGATTTTCTTCGTCCATGGGCACGTCGACGGAGCAGTACGGGAGAGGTCCGGCTTCTTCCGATGCGTTGTCGACGTTCTGTTCATCCCAGTCTGCTTCGTCCGCTGCTGAGGCGAAGGCTCGGTCACCACGAAAGCCACCTGTGAGGTCCCGATTCTTGTGCAAGTTGGCGAGGTACGTCTGAAGGGTGAGTCGCTCGTAGAAGATCACATCACGTGCTGCTACTGTTTCCTTTGTGTGGACGTCAAAGATTATCCACGCGTTGTAATTTTTCTCGATGCCGAGGTGTAGTCCCCACTGTACCCGTTGTGAAAATCTTCCCGCTCGTGCTTCTGGGGGTCTGTACTGTACCATGCATCCGAAAACTCGTACCATTGTTGTGCTGCCCAGCTTCCCTGTCCACAGCAGATGCGGTGAGGCGTTGTTCGGGAGTGACGACGACGACAACAAGTTGTGCAGCATGACAGCATGGTCCATTGCTGCAGGCCACTGGTGGTTGGGTAGCCGCATGCCACGTAGCAGTTTGCGCATGCTGTTCTGCAGAGTCCTGTTCATTCTTTCTGCTACTCCTTGCTGCTGATGTGCGTAGGGAAGGGAGAGGAGTTGCTTGATCCCTCTTTCCGCCAGGTACTGCTTGAAGCGCTGAGAGGTGTACTCTCCTCCTCCGTCTGACTGGAAGCTTTTCAGTTGTGTTCCTGATTCCCTCTCTGCTACCGGTAGCCAAGCGGCGAATGCTGCGAGTGCCATGTCGCGGCTGGGTAGGTTGCGATGCCAGACGTATCAAGTGGCGGCGTCGATGAAGGTGATCGTGTGATTGTAGGTGACTTGTCCTGGTTCTCGATTGTAGAGGATGTCGCTGCAAACTTTCTCGAGTGGTGCGTATGCAGGTGCACTCGGGTTGTGGTGAGAGGAAAACGGTCGATGGGGTAAGTCGGCTTCGGGGCAGATGAGGCAAGTCCATCGTGCACGTTGAAGTTCTCTGCCGTCGAGTAGTAGTAACGAATCCTTGTCTAGAACTCCTGCTCGTATCGTGTTGTTTAACACCGTATTGCTTGGATGTCCTGTGCGTGCGTGCCAGATGCCTTCAGGAGCGCGATGTCCGGGTGAGCGTTGATACGCGTCAGAGTTGGAGTAGAAGTTGGCGACGATGTTTGCGCTTCGGTGGAGTTCTCGTTGAGTCGGGTTCAGCTGTTGTGCGGGTGTTGGTGGTGTTCGTGGTGTTTCGATGACTAGTGTCGTTGGTCCTGCTGCTTCCGATGATGGTTTTGCTGTTGCCAATGTTGTCTCTGCTGCTGTCGATGTTGTCTCTGCTGCTGTCGTTTGTTGAATCGTTGCTAATGCTCGTGTTCGTCCTGCTTCAGGGATGGTGTGCGAGTACCAGAAACCTCCTGGGCTGAGGTCGGGATCGAGATCCGGAGGGTGAGTCCAGTCGGTGAAGTTGACGATGGCGTCGCTGTCTGCAGTGCCCAGGTCGGGGACGAAATCGAGGACGAAGACGTTATTCTTCAACACTGCTTTTCCGATGTAGAGGCCGCCCTTCCCGTGGTATAACTTAAACTCCTGGGTGATGCTGTCGGCTTCCAAGTGGATGCCTTTCGCCATCAACTGGCTGACACTCAGTAAGCTGTAGCCTAGTCCCTCCGCGATAAGTACCTTTGACATGTGTAATATGACATTTGTTTCTCGTGACTGAAGCTGTACCGCTCCTTGTCGTCGTGTGCGCAGGTTCTGATTGTTGGCGACCATGATGACTACTTCTCGTTGGAGTCGATGTTCGCGTTGAACGAAGCGCCCGGAGGAGCACATGTGTTGTCCGCAGCAACTATCCAAGAACCAAGTGTCTTGGCCAGATGGTTCGCTTTGAGCGATGGCGGCGTACGTCGGATTCGGCTGGAGTGATTCGCGGCGAGGCGTCCTGTTGTCGAGCTCTTCTTCCGGTGAGTAGTGGGGTGGTGACTTGGTTGTGCACGAATCGGTTATCTTCACCATGCAATTGACGATGCTTCTTGTTCCTTGTGCAGGTTGTTCAGTTGAAGTCGTTGAAGCTTGGATTGTGGTCGTCGGACTTGCTTGCGTTGAAGCAACTTGGGAGCTTGAAGGCCGGAGTTGTCGCTGTGGTGTTGTCTGACAAGACGGGCAGTGCGTGCGAGGATGGCCCGAAGTCTTGCAGATGTGGCAGAACGGAGGTACTGTCTTTACTTGTTGTTGACGGTTGTTGTTGCCGTTGTATCGTCGCTGAGTGTGAAACGCAAACTCTGGTGCTAATGCTTTCTTCTTGTGTCTTTCTTCTTACAGGTCCATGTCTTGCTGCTTAGCATGAATTTCGGCGCAGAGTGCCGCTTCGGAAATTCTCCCATGTGCTCGTAATATGGCGCGAGTGGAGCGTCAGTGGGGGCCGAGACCGCCGATGACCACCGTGACAAAGGCGTCTTCTGAAATCGACCCGCCGCATCGAAGAAGCTTGTCGCGCAGTTCGCGACAGCGGCTGATATAAGCCATGCCTTTCTCGCCTGGTTTCATTTCAATCGTTGTCAGCTGCGTCATTAACCTGCTTTGATTTACGCTGTCTGTTGCTTGATACAGGTTCTTCAGGTGGTTGTACGCGAGCTCCGCGGAGTTGCCGTAGCCTCGGTAAGTCCTGATGTTCTGCTGCTGGGTCGGAGTGATGTTCCTCAGCAGTATCGTGTACGCCATCATCGATTGATAAGTATATTGCTGCTTCTCATATTGCGTCCCGTTTGTTGGATATGGCAGGGACCCGTCGAAGAAGCCGAGAATCTGTGCTCCTTCCATTATCAGTTCGAACTCGAACGACCAGGTGAAGAAATCTTTGCCGTCGAAAGGCTTTGTCGTTTGTAGTTTTAAGACATGCGCGAATTGCGATTGAACTTGTAACGCATCCAATGCCATTTCTTGTCCTGGTGCAGGTTGCGGTTGCGGCATGAAGCTGACGGAGCCACGCTGGGGCTCGTATGGTGCAAAGGTAGGCTGTGGTTGTTGTTGAGTCCCGCGTGCGTAGGATGAGCCATCGAGACTCATAGGCGTCACGTTGTTGTTGTTGTTGCAGTTGTTTGATTGCGTAGGTGCTCCTTGCTGGTGCTGCTCGTAGAAGGACATGAAGGAGAAGAACTTTTCCATCATGCTTGGATCGAAGCCTGCGGGCGTTTCCGTAGACCCAGCTGCTGGTCTCGTGGTAGTCCCTTCCTCTGTCTGTAGACCAGAGACAGGAGGTGGAGTAGGAGTAGTGCTTGGAGAGCCGTTGGAGGAGCTCCTCTCCTTCCTTGCAGATATGTCTTACTGTATTGAGTGTTAAAAGGAAAACAATCTTTAGAACTCTAACTGCTCTCATACCATGTTGGGCTGAAATGCCCTAGGATCTTTGTAGAGTTTAAGTCTGAGTAGAATTGTAGTAGCGGAAGCGTTTGAATGAAAATACTTGAACCACCTTGCGCTAGTATGTGAGGGCAAAGTAAGTTGATTAAACAAGCAAATACAAAGGTTTATATAAGAGTACAAGGAATACGAATAGATAAGTTAAAACCGTTTTACTGTTGGGATTCGATACAGTGCGACTCGGGCAACTGCTCAATGTCGAGTCAGTTGTGTGTCCTTGCTGTCGCGCTGTATTTGTCAAGTCAAAGGTCGCCGACCTTTGACCTTCTCGTAACCTCCAGGCGGTTACCCTAACCTCCGAGGGTTGACTCGCGATGCTTCGATTCGGACTGCTTCGCTAGTGTCCTGAGTTTCGACACGACAGAGGCGCTTAAGACTTATTATTCCCAACATTAAGGAAGTATTTACACAATGTAAATACGGTATCTTTGTTTTCTAAGTGTTCAATTCACGTGCTCCAGTTTGTACGAGGCTCCTTTAGCGCGCCTAAGGGGGCGCGAATTCGCTGAAGTACCGCTACTGCATCTCTTTTTCAGCTACTGCTGCATCTCCACGGTTGATCCGCCATGCGATCCAGAGCCGTCATCCACATCGAACGGCTGTGGGCCCGAGTGGCGCGCGCCCGCCCATGGGTTCCTGATCGCGCCGCGCATCCGTCTTGTACTTCCGCCATTGTCACTTCGTTCGCATCTCGCTCGCTACACGCACCTGAACTGTCTCGGTCCTTGCTGACGTCACCAGCCGCCACAGCGGAAGCGCGAGCCGCCACGCCGCGAGCGCCGATAGCAGCGGCTGTGCGTCGCGGCGCCTTTCCTTTGGCCGTAGACGCCGTTGCCACTCTCCCCGAATCCGCATGTGCTTTCCCCAGCCCCTCTACCGCTTCCGCCCTTCCTGGTGAATCTGGCTCTCCAACGGCTTCCGCTCCCCCCGCCGTTTATTCCCCTTGCGCCGCCGTTGGCTTGCGCGCCCCGTGGACTCTTCCGCCCGCGGGCTTCCCCCGAATTGCTGCTTCCGCCTGTGCCACCCTCGCCGGCTCAGGTGCTGCTGTAGATGACGGACGGCGCACCGTAGCTGACGGTCTGGGAGCTGTAGCTGACGGACTGAGTACTGTAGCTGACGGATCCCGTACTGTAGCTGACAGACCAATCAATTCACGCAATAGATGTCCACCTGTAGAAGACAAGGGATTGAGGTGGGCTCTGGTGGATTGGGAACGGTGCAGAGCGGTGCATGGGGGACGAACCGAGAGAGAAAGGCTGGCCCGGAAGGACAAGGTTTCGGGTTTCAGGGTTTATGCGAATCAGGGTTTAGGAAGTCAGCTTGGGGTGGGAGAGGTATATGAGGAGAAGAAAGATTGGGCATGGAGCTTTAAAACGAGTCGTCGCTCAATAGAAGGGACATGGGTTGTTGGGGCAGCTCAAGGGACTAAAGATGGGGCATGGGGTTTTGGGTCTGTTGGGTGGTGGACACATGAGGCATGGGTTCAGGGTTGGAGGGAAGGGACAATTATAGCTCACATGCAGTGGCATATGCACGCACACAAAGTGCATAGACGCATCATGAACAAACGCGTTATGCATAGATGCAGTAGTGCACATGGGGAGCGGATACATGTGTACCCCGGTGATGATAGGTGCGACATGGAGAGACGTAGCATCTGTTGCCCCGCTTTTATTGACACGTTGAGACAGTATGGCTCAACAGAATCAAGGCAGTCTTACACTGACACGTACAGCCCATATTTCTCAAGGGATACAAGGCGGAGTGACAGCTTGCATGTGGGTAGGCGCTATATGCACTCTGATAGGACGAGTGGACGTGAGTCGTTGAATGGCAGCAGCAGCAGCAGCAGCAGCATGAGCAGCAGTGAGAACAGCAGTAGCATTCAGAGCAGCAGCACTGAGAGAAGTGGCGGCAGCATCAGCAGCAGCACGAGCAGCAACAGCGTCTGCAGCCCTGAAAGCAGCAGCAGCAGCAGCAGGGGGAAGCGGGGGTGGAGGGAGAGGGAGGTGCTTCAGCCGGCCAACCTGGTGTCCCTCGTCCGACTCGCATCTGGCCCTCCCATTGCCGCGTGAGACATGATTCTCTGCACATTTTAACGGTTGTTTTTTATACACGTATACATAAGCATACGCACACACACGCACACACTCACACACACACTCACACACACACACACACACACACGGATTTGTTGGCGCCCCACAAGTTCAGGCGGTCAAGGTAGTCTCCTCCTCATCCTAGCTTGACTGGCGCCATAAAGGTCAAGGTAGTCTCCTCCTCATCCTAGCTTGACTGGCGTCCGGTCCTCCCATTGCCTCGACAAGATGGGTAAGGCATTTCTTTAGCCATCTCGTGTCGATCATGTGTGATTTGATTCGTCGGAAGCAACACTTGAGGCGCCTCAAAAAGCAATTTGATATAGGCGCCTCACACTACCCCCACCCACTTGACTTTGCCTCTCACCCACCCATGCTCTCACTTTATTCCAAGCAGCCGTTTTCCTTCCTCTCTCCCATCATGCCCTTGCTACCTTTGTTCCACCCTTTCCCATCTCTCCCCGCCCCCTTTATAGTCTCATCGTCTACAATCACACAGAGGCAGCAGTTGTGGCTCTGCTACTGGCAGGGGCTTCTGATTGGGTGAGACAGTTGCTACTAACGAGGATGTTGCTAGTAACAAGGATGTTGCTAGTAACGAGGATGTTGCTAGTAACAAGGATGTTGCTAGTACAGAGGATGTTGCTAGTAACGAGGATGTTGCTGGCAATGTGGATGTTGTCAGAAACGAGGGTAACGCTACTAACTGAGGGTGTTGTTAATAACGAGGATGTTAGCCCCAACAAGCTATTTCCCCCGTTCCATTTCCCCCCCTCTCATTTCCCCCCTTCAACTCCCCCTCCTTCCTTCCTTCCATTGTTTCTAACCCATCCCACATCCCCCCTCTCCCCCCACTTCAGTTAGATGGGTACTTGGCCCGGCGGTTCAAAGGAGGGGAGTCCGTTTTAGGCTCGTACCTCGATCTGCTAGTAGACAAGGCAGTGGCGTGTGTGGCACTGGCGCTGCTGGTGGTGGTGTGTGTCAGCCCCCTTTTCCTTCCATCTCACTCTCCCCTGCTTCTGCAGCTAGATGGGTACTTGGCCCGGCGGTTCAAAGGAGGGGAGTCCGTTTTAGGCTCGTATCTCGATCCGCTAGCAGACAAGGCGTTGGTGGCGTGTGTGGCGCTGGCGCTGCTGGGGAAGGGGCTGCTGCCGCCGTGGCTGGCGGTGCTGGTGCTGGCTCGAGATGTGTTTTTGTTCGGTGGGCACGTTGTGATGCGGTTGAATGCGGTGCAGTGGAAAGTGCGTGGGTTGGGAGGGGAGGGAAGGGGGTAGGGGCGGAGGGGAGGAGAGAGGGGGGTTGCATTTGGGGCTGCTGCCGCCATGGCTGGCAGTGCTGGTGCTGGCTCGAGATGTGTTCCTGTTTGGGGTGCATGTGGTCATGCGCTTGAATGCGGTGCAGTGGAAGGTGGGTGGGTTGGGAAGGGGAGGGAGGGGGGGGTGTGTTGGGCTGGCAGTGTTGCTGGCTGGATACGTGTTTCTGTTCAGACTGCACGTGGTGATCCGCTACCTACTCTAATTGCTCTCAACCGCACCCAACCCCTGCAGTGGTGGCAGCACCGCGCTCACTTCTTTAACATCCAAAAGGGGACGGCGGAAAGGGTGGAGCCTCTCCTCATAAGCAAGGTGCGCTCTTAGTTAAGTGCTCTGTGAGCAAGGTGCGCTCTTAGTTAAGTGCTCTGTGAGCAAGGTGCGCTCTTAGTTAAGTGCTCTGTGAGCAAGGTGCGCTCTTAGCTTAGTGTGTTGTTGTCAATGAGCAGTCTAAGGCGTGATTCTTTCCGATTCGTTTTTCCCGGCAAGTCGCCACACTTCGAATCTCGTTTTCTGTACCAAGATGCGCCCATATCCAAGAACCAGCAAGTCAACTCGGGTCAATCCAAGTCAAACCCTTCCCAACCTATGCCCCCTCTCCCGCCCCCCATGCAGGTCAACACGTGTCTGCAGATGCTGCTTCTCCCTGCCGCCCTCCTGCACGACCCTTACCTCCTCTCCACCGCTCCCAACCTCCTCCCATACCTCTGGTACCTCTCACTTCTCTCCTCCCTTATCCTTTTTTCATTCCCACCTCCTCTCCCACCCTCCTCTCTTCCTGATTCCCCCTCTTCCTGCTCCTGTACGATACCCTTTGTTCATTCATACTTTTGAGGCGCCTCAAAAGTAATAATCCTGTGCCATACTCTTTGTTCATTCATATGCGTCATCCATCCCACCCACTTGCTTCTTGCGTGTTCCTGATAAATTTCTGAATGATTTCTCTTGCGTGATTTTCTGGTTTATCCGACTAGCTTATTGCATGTTCTTCTGAGTGATTTCTCATCAAAGCGCCGTGCTTGCTATTCTGGTTCATCCGAGTGGCTTTTTCTCTGCTCCTCTCCCTGTGGCAGCTACTCAGTTGCAACCACCACTGTCACCTCCTGGGCAGCTTACATGTGGGTGGGCCTTATGCGCAAATAGAGGATACAGTAGTAGTATACAGGTGTAACTGGAGAAACAGGTACGGTATGCACGCCGTTCATTGTATGTATATTCGAGGGTACTGAAGATATGAATGAACCATCGTTGTACTGTACCGTACGTGTGGGTTGGGTTACGACGCGCAAATAGCCGATGTCGCCGGTACATGTGTGTTGTTGGGCTGAGGATTTCAGCCTTAGGATCTTTGCAGAGAATAGGCTAGTAGGTGCTAGAGTAGCACAGCGGAAGTCTTTTGAGTGAATGTACTTGTGCTGGTATGTGAGAACAAGTATTGATTAAAGCAAAGAGCATACAGGAATATATAGGAAAGATAGATTACAGGAAGCGGTTATGTTTATCGAGACGCGTAACGCTTCGACTATCGAGGCGGTTACTGTTCACTGAAGCGTCGCTTGCTGTTACGTAACCTCCAGGCGGTTACAGCTCGCAACCTCCAGATGCGGTTTGATGTGGTACGCGCCTTTTCGACTTTATACCCCTTTTGTTGTGCTTCAGTATCGGGTGAGGTTCGATACTATAGAAACGCACTAAGTCATGCGTTTATATTCCCAACACTCCCCTTCGTTTCTGGAGTGTCGACGTGGTTAGCTTCGGTGAAGTGGCCCAATCCGGTGAGCAGCATGGAGTACTCGAATTTCCCCTTTGGTAGCTTCTTGGTGAGATAATCTGCTACCATCTCGGTGGTCGGGCAGTAGTCCAGCTGGAGTTTTCCCTTCTCAATTTCGTCTTTCACGAAGAAGTATCGCAGTGCGATATGCTTGGTTCTGTTGGCGAAGCCATTCTTGTTCGCGATCCGTATCGCGGACTGGTTGTCGCAGAAAAACGAGAAGCTGGGTACTTTCGCGATTTTCGCTTCTTCCAGCAGTTCGCGCAGGTACATACCTTCCTTGGTAGCGGTGCAGAGAGCAATATACTCTGCTTCAGCAGATGATAGTGCGACGAGTTCCTGCTTACTTGATTGCCAGGAGATAGTTCCGACGGGCTCGAGACGGTAGATGTAGCCGGTGCGAGAGCGACGATCGACACGATCAACAGCATGATCAGCGTCGACGTAGCCGAGTAGTTTTAGGTCGGTCGTCGTGCTCTTGTGATACGTTAAGCCAACTGTTGGCGTCGAGATGAAGTAGAGAAGGGCACGGTTGAGTTCCTTGAGGTGACGTTGTTCTGGGCGCTTGAGGTAGGTCGCTAGTTGACTGGCGCTGTAGGATAAGTCCGGTCGGCACGTAACGGCGGCAAAGAGTAGGCAGCCCAGTTTCTGTTGATATTCCTGGATTCCAGCAGACGGCAGTGGGTTGGTTTCTTCGGTTGGATCGAGCGATAGGTGACTGTAGGGTGTTGCGACGTGCGTCGGTGTGAAGCAGAAGCGTTCGGCGATAGTGCTTGCGTATTTTGAGGCGCTGAGACGAATGGCGTTGTCTTCGTCGAGGATGTTGAGCCCTAGGTACTGCGTGACGTTGGGTGAGACTGTGAGGGAGAGATCTGTCTGAAGCTCCCTTTCGAACCAAGTGACGATAGTGGTAGTTGATCCGATGTAAAGTAAGTCGTCGACGTAGACGATTAGCAAGACGTAGTCGTTGTCGTGAGTGAGGCGATACATGCCCTGGTCATGGGGCAGTTGGTTGAATCCGATGCGTTTAAGTCGTGCGTGCAGGTACTGCTGCCAGAGTCGCGGTGCCTGCTTAATTCCGTATAGTGATTTAAGTAGTTGGCAGACGAGGGAAGGGTCGTCGACGAACCCGTGGGGCTGTTCGACGAAGATTTCAGCGTCGACTGGGGCGTACAGAAAAGCGTTGGCGACGTCGATTTGTCGGAGTGGGCGGCGACGTGAGGCGGCGATGGCGAGGAGTATACGCAGGGAAGTATGTCGACTGACTGGTGCAAAAGTTTCAGTGAAGTCGCGACCATACTCTTGGTCGAATCCGCGGACGACCCATCGAGCTTTAAATCGTTCGATGGTTCCGTCGGAGTTGTTTTTGATCCGGAATACCCATTTTCCGGAGAGAATGGGTCTGTCTTGTGCGAGTGATGCAGGGACGATCTTCCAGGTGTTGCGGTCTGAAAGCGCTTTTAACTCCTTTCCCATGGCTTCGCGCCATTTTTCTTTGTGTTCCCCCCCAGAGCCTGCTTGACAGAGCGAGGCTCTTCAGGTGGCGATGAAGGCCCGTGCACTGCAGCGACGAGTCCCAGGACTAGGAGTCCGCTCGGGGTGTGACGGTTCAGCAAGGGATCCTTGGGATAGACTGCTTCGTCTCCCGCTTCAGGATCAGGTGCAAATCCAGGGCCGTATCGTTCAGAGATGTCGGTGTTGACGGGTTGGGGTGTTACGTAACCAGTGTCGGCAAAATGGTAGTAGACGTCGGCATTGTTGCTGTCGCGAGGATTTTCCTCGTCCATGGGGATTGGGACGGAGCAGTAGGGAAGGGGTCCAGCAGCTTCGGAGGCGCCGTCGACGTTTTCTTCTTCCCAGTCAGCAGCGTCGGAGGGTGAAGCGAAGGCTCGGGAACCAGAAAATCCGCGGTGGGGTCGACGTGGCGTGCGATGTTGTCCAGGTAATGGTTGAGGGTGAGTCGTTCGTAGAAGATAACGTCACGTGCTGCTACTGTTTCCTTTGTGTGGACGTCGAAGATTCGCCAGGTTTCGTAATGTTTTGCCAGCCCGAGGTGTAGACCCCACTGTGCACGTTGCGAAAATCTCCCTGCGCGTGCAGTGTGTGGGCGGTACTGTACCATACACCCAAAAACTCTTAACATTTTTGTGTTGCCCAGCTTCCCAGTCCACAACAGGTGTGGAGATGCGTTGTTGGGCAGTGAAGACGAGGACAGCAAGTTGTGTAGGAGGACAGCGTGGTCCATCGCTGCTGGCCATTCTGAGTTGGGCAGTCGAGTTCCACGTAGCAGCTTTCGCATGGTTGTCTGCAGGGTCCTGTTCATCCTTTCTGCCACACCCTGCTGTTGGTGAGCGTAAGGAAGAGAGATGAGGCGTTTGATGCCTCTTTCTGCCAAGAACTGTTTGAAGCGATGTGACTGGTATTCCATCGCGCCATCTGACTGAAAACTCTTCAGTTTTACTCCCGATTCTCTTTCAGCGACAGGTAGCCAGGCTGTGAAGGCTTCTAGAGCCATGTCTCGTGACGGTAAGTTGACGTGCCAGACATATCGCGTTGCGGCGTCGATGAAGGTGATGACGTAGTTCAGATCTTCACGTCCTTCAGTTCGAGGTATGTATAGTATGTCGCTGTAGACTTTCTCGAGTGGTTGATAAACGGGGGCGCTCGGATTGTGGTGTGACGGGAACGGTTGGTGAGGCAGATCTGCTTCCGGGCAGATGAAGCAAGTGCCGCGTGGTCGTTCGAGTTCACGTCCGTTGGGAAGAAGTAGGGCGTTCTTGTCTAACACTCCGGCTCGTATTGTGTTGTAAGGTGTTTTGTTTCCAGGATGTCCAAGACGTTGATGCCAGATGTCTTCGGAGGCGCTGTGACCGACGGAGCGTTGATAGAAGTCTGCGTTAGCGAAAAAGGCGGCGTGTGTTGCTGCACTTCGATGAAAGGGGCGTGGTGCTGGCGTTAACTGTTGGGCGGCTGTCGGTGGCGTGTCGATGATGAGAGGTGGTGGTGCGACGGAGGGACCGGGCTGTGGAGTTTCGGAAGGTTGTTCGGTGACGACGGTTGGTTCTTCAACTACAGGTTCGGTGGTTGTTGGTGCTGTGACGGGTGCAGTTGTTGTTTCGATGACGGGTGCTAACTCAGGTGTTGTTGCTTGTGTTTGCAGGACGGCAAGCGCGTTGGTGCGTTCAGCTTCGGGAATGGTACGAGAGTACCAGAAGCCTTCATGTTTGAAGTTCGGGTCGAGGTCTTGCGGATGCGTCCAAGGTGCGAGAGCGACTATGCCGTCGCTGTCTGCGGTGCCTTTGTCGGGGACGAAATCGAGGACGAACACGTCATCTTGTTGGATTGCGCGGCCGATGAAGACCCCCCCTTTTCCGTGGTAAAGACGGATTTCCCGGGCGTCGGAGTCACACTCCAGGTGAATGCCTTTCGACATGAGTTGGCTGACGCTCAGTAAGTTGAAGCCGAGGTTGTCGACGACGAGTACTTTGTTTAGTTGAAGGATAACGTTTGTTTCGTTTGACTGAAGCTCCACGACTCCTTGTTTGTTGGTGCGCAGGTTTTCGTTGTTGGCGACGGTGATGATGACGTCTCGCGGAAGACGTCGTTCACGCTGAAGAAATCGTGATGAAGAGCACATGTGATGACCGCAACAGCTGTCGAGGAACCATGTGTCTGGTCCGGTGGGTGCACTGTTCGCGATGGCGGCGTACGTTGGATTCACGTTAAGGGACGACGGTGGTGGTGACGGTTGCTCATCAGGACTGTAAGTCGGTGGAGAGCCGGTAATACACGAGTCGATGTTTGACTCTGTTGTTCGTGCCATGGCGACGATTCTTGATGTCTGTGCAGGTCCCGAAGTGGAAGTTGACGGTCGCGTTGAAGTAGTCGTTGAGGCGGTAGCGGGTCGTTGTTGAGTTGACGCGATGTGGGGAGGCGCGGGTCGCAGAGGACGAGAGAATGGTGCTGGTTGTCGTTGTTGCTGAGGGCAGTTGAAGCGTGTGTGTCCTGAAGTCCGACACAAATGACAATAAGGAGGTACGTGTCCTCGGTTTTGGTAACGTGG